TATAACACGAACCAAGTCTTCTCCCTAACCTTACCGGCCTCACACACCCATTGACCAACTACCCTATAACACGAACCAAGTCTTCTCCCTAACCTTACCGGCCTCACACACCCATTGACCAACTACCCTATAACACGAACCAAGTCTTCTCCCTAACCTTACCGGCCTCACACACCCATTGACCAACTACCATATAACACGAACCAAGTCTTCTCCCTAACCTTACCGGCCTCACACACCCATTGACCAACTACCCTATAACACGAACCAAGTCTTCTCCCTAACCTTACTGGCCTCACACACCCATTGACCAACTACCCTATAACACGAACCAAGTCTTCTCCCTAACCTTACCGGCCTCACACACCCATTGACCAACTACCCTATGACACGAGGCAAGTTTTCTCCCTAACCTTACCGGCCTCACACACCCATTGACCAGCTACCCTATGACACGAACCAAGTCTTCGCCCTAACCTTAAGGCATTACACACCCATTGACCACCTACCCTATAACACGAACCAAGTCTTCTCCCTAACCTTAAGGCCTTACACACCCATTGACCACCTACCCTATGACACGAGCCAAGTCTTCTCCCTAACCTTACCGGCCTCACACACCCATTGACCACCTACCCTATGACACGAGCCAAGTCTTCTCCCTAACCTTAAGGCCTTACACACCCATTGACCACCTACCCTATGACACGAGCCAAGTCTTCTCCCTAACCTTACCGGCCTCACACACCCATTGACCACCTACCCTATAACACGAACCAATTCTTCGCCCTAACCTTAAGGCATTACACACCCATTGACAACCTACCCTATGACACGAGCCAAGTCTTCTCCCTAACCTTACTGGCCTCACACACCCATTGACCAACTACCGTATAACACGAACCAAGTCTTCTCCCTAACCTTACCGGCCTCACACACCCATTGACCAACTACCCTATGACACGAGGCACGTCTTCTCCCTAACCTTACCGGCCTCACACACCCATTGACCAGCTACCCTATCACACGAACCAAGTCTTCTCCCTAACCTTAAGGCCTTACACACCCATTGACCACCTACCCTATGACACGAGCCAAGTCTTCTCCCTAACCTTACCGGCCTCACACCCACTGACCACCTACCCAATAACACGAACCAAGTCTTCTACCTAACCTTACCGGCCTCAAACACCCTGACCACTGATCCTATCACATGAAACAAGTCTTCTCCCTAACCTTACCGGTCTCACACACCCATTGACCACCTACCCTATAACAAGAACCACGTCTTCTCCCTAACCTTAAGGCCTTACACACCCATTGACCACCTACCCTATGACACGAACCAAGTCTTCTCCCTAACCTTACCGGCCTCACACACCCATTGACCAACTACCCTATAACACGAACCAAGTCTTCTCCCTAACCTTACCGGCCTCACACACCCATTGACCAGATACCCTATGACACGAGCCAAGTCTTCTCCCTAACCTTACCGGCCTCACACACCCAATGACCAGCTACCCTATCACACGAACCAAGTCTTCTCCCTAACCTTACCGGCCTCACACACCCATTGACCACCTACCCTATGACACGAGCCAAGTCTTCTCCCTAACCTTACCGGCCTCACACACCCATTGACCAACTACCCTATAACACGAACCAAGTATTCTCCCTAACCTTACCGGCCTCACACACCCATTGACCAGCTACCCTATCACACGAACCAAGTCTTCTCCCTAACCTTACCGGCCTCACACACCCATTGACCAGCTACCCTATGACACGAGCCAAGTCTTCTCCCTAACCTTACTGGTCTCACACACACTGACCACTGATCCTATCACATGATACAAGTCTTCTCCCTAACCTTACCGGTCTCACACACCCATTGACCACCTACCCTATAACACGAACCAAATCTTCTCCCTAACCTTACCGGCCTCACACAGCCATTGACCACCTACCCTATGACACGAGCCAAGTCTTCTCCCTAACCTTACCGGCCTCACACACCTATTGACCAACTACCCTATAACACGAACCAAGTCTTCTCCCTAACCTTACCGGCCTCACACACCCATTGACCAGCTACCCTATGACACGAGCCAAGTCTTCTCCCTAACCTTACCGGCCTCACACACCCATTGACCAACTACCCTATAACACGAACCAAGTCTTCTCCCTAACCTTAAGGCCTTACACACCTATTGACCAGCTACCCTAATGACACGAACCAAGTCTTCTCCCTAACCTTACTGGCCTCACACACCCATTGACCAGCTACCCTATAACACGAACCAAGTCTTCTCCCTAACCTTAAGGCCTTACACACCTATTGACCAGCTACCCTAATGACACGAGCCAAGTCTTCTCCCTAACCTTACTGGCCTCACACACCCATTGACCAGCTACCCTATCTTGTATTGTGGTAGGGATCTTGACCTTAACAGCCAGCCTTAATGGTTTCAAATTTCTAGGTTGACTGGAAGTGGTCCATTAATAAATTTGAATCTTTGTGTGTGTGTGTGATTTATCGCGACATGCATATCAAAATCGCTACACTTGCTTTAATAATTAAAATAAATTTCAAACCGATTTAAATTATAAGTAGAAGTAGTAAAATCATCTCTCTTCATAAAATGGAGAGTTCTTCCATTCGCTTTACCCTCGTTGTTTATTTCGCAACACTAATTATATAATTACCTATTAAAAACTATTTTGTTTCATCGCCCAAACTTTTAATGTGTTAGATACAACGTTGAAACAATGCCCAATAAAGTGCTCGTCGCAAAACTGCAACGACGCTAAAAAAAATGTTAGTAAGGTGATTAAGAAGGGGCAAATGTAAGCCAAAGACTGGCCATTTCGTTAATATTTTCTAGTTTGTTTTCCGACCTACGTCCGTTAGGCTACCACTACCTTAACCGTATTCAGTTTTCTTCAAATTTTCAGTGAATGTATTTGCTATCAAAGCCGATTTTAAATACATTTTCTGACCAACTCTTTGTTCCAATGTGCACACCATAGACGGTGTCCCTGGGGGAAACAAAAGCATCATATGAATATTCTTACTTAACCAACTAAAAGTATTAAGAACACTGTGGTCGTAGTTAAGAGCTATAGAAATTACCCTGTGGTCGTAGTTAAGAGCTATAGAAATTACCCTGTGGTCGTAGTTAAGAGCTATAGAAATTACCCTGTGGTCGTAGTTAAGAGCTATAGAAATTACCCTGATATATAAAACATTGCAAATATTTCTGAAAACGTTTGTGTGTGTGTGTGGGGGGGGGGGGGGGGGAAAGAAGGTTAAAAAAAAAAAAAATTAAAAAA